ATATATATATATATATATATATTTCTTGATACGGTGAAATACAATTGTGAGGTATTTGCAAATTTTATTTCCCAATGAGTTGTCTTCTTTATGGAAATACCATTGATTTTTGTAAATCCAGTGATGTTAGCGCCAGGGATTTAGCTCAGCAGAACAGCACCTGCCTGGCAAGTGAGAGGTCCAGGGTTCAGTCCCCGATACCTGCCCTGCAAAATTCAGTGATGTTACTGAATTTCTACTGATTTTATCAGTTTCTTTGTACATTCTTTTGGGGTTTTTAACTTAATGATTTCTGTTGTTTGTGAGTAATGCCAGTTTTACTGCTTTTTAAAAATCTTTAAATGATTTTCTTTCTGTCGGCTAATTGCAGATCATCTACTTAAAGTATATCTCAGTAGTTTCAGATGTCTTATTTTAATAAGTACTCAACTCAAATATTTTCTTTTGCTGTTATTTATTCTTCAACATGAGTTACACAAATATGTGCTTCTTAATTTTCAAACACTTGGTAGTGTTTTAACTTACAGTGTTCTTGTCATTGATATCTAGACATGCTATGTTCAGAAGCTATGTTCAGAAACTCTTTTGTATTTTCTTATAAAACACTTATTCATGTTTATATATTTCGTATTTTGGTAAGTATTCTACATGAAAAATATGTTTCATGTTTTTACATTTCATAAAACTTTTTTTTATTTTAATTTGAATTCCATTCTTAAAATATATTTGAAAGTTGGAGAATACCTAAAAATCAGACTGCACTGATATTTTAAGGCTTAATACTAAGACATTTTCTTCCAAGGTTTGTTAACTACAGCAAAATTTTTAGGCCATAGTCATTACCTTTCTGGCCTCTGAATGTAATAAAATGTCCTAAAGCTACATATTTGTTCCAAGTGTTTCTTTATCTTCTACATCAGAGTTAGACAGTCAATATTCTAATTTATATGCTCTTAAAAGGAGAAAACCTATGATCTTTCTTCATTGTAGAAGAAAAGTTTGTGTGCACATGGGTAAGTGAAAATTGTTTTAATGAAAAAAATGCGTTCTGGTTTTCACAGAAAGATAGCTTTCTAAATATATAAGTGAAAACACTCAACATGAAACACTATTAGTGAAAAGGAAAGATGTGGAGAAATCAAGCCAGCAAAGGAGGCCAATACAATTGTAGCTGCCTTTAGGCCCAGCAGGCTGGACTTGTTTTCGCCACACCTGCGACGCAGGGACACATAGAAGAGTCCTGTGGGCTGGTGCAGTAGTTTGCAGCCAACAAGCTATCATCCTTCCAATGTTGCTGGCTTTTACGAAGGTGTTAGAAACTAGAGTGACACATAAGGATAAATTTAGTACCTGTTTGTCTAGAATTGTTGTGAGGTGCTGTAGAACTTCAGCAGACACATGTGCCTTCAGCATTTGTCAAAGTTTTTTGATCAAGGAAATATGTATAAGGAGAGATCAAGTATAAAACATTAATGAAAATTTCCTTCTTTTTAACTCTGAAAATATGAGTCATATCTTTGGAGTGAAAAAAATCCCCATCTCTCAGCAGCAGCATTGGCCTCTGGTCATATCCGTCTTCACGTTACAGACAGCCATGTGGATCTGCTATCCTGACTACCTGCTATAATACAAGGAACTTTAAAAATATCTTTGTGGGATAACTGGAAGGTTTACCAAAAGGGTAAGAATGAATTATTCCAGATTATTACAGTAATACAGGAAAAAACCACCACCACTGGCTAAGCAATCAAAGAACGAGTGGTTTCCTGGCAGTTCAAGTCTTACCAGATGCATGCGTGTGAGCACTTGGGCTTTGCCTCATCTGGAAAGCAGAGTCTGAGCACTGCCTACTGTGTCGGCTTCACAGGACTTTTAAAAATCATAAGTTGTTATGTCCACATGATTATATTTTTGAAACTTAAAAAAACGTAAGATTTTTCCAGGGAAGTCAGAAAGAAAGATGCGGCTACTGCAAAATCACATTTATAAAAACGAGTTGTAACAAAAGCACAGCACTGTATGCAAATTGATAATGAATTTTATAGCAAATAACTTTAGTCTTATGTGTTAATCATTTTAATAGAAAGAATAATGTCAATACTTAATAATGAAATACTGATCCCTGCTTTCTCTATTCTTCTTTCTTTATATAGTCATTTGTCAGAAAAATCTCATGAGATCGGTAATATTATGATTACATCTTATAGATGAGAAAACTAGTCAGAAAGCTGAAACAGAAAATATAAGGCATTACCTTATAAATGCTGTTTTGTTTTATGCCTGTGCCTTTTGGCTGCGGACTTTTTACTCTTTGCTTAGTGAAAAAAGAACAAGCAAAACAAGGAGAATGATTTTTAAGAAGTCCTTTAAAGTAGGGTCTCAGTATCCGAAATGTCATGTTGACATATCCCCGCCTTTTCCTGTCAGATCCACTCGTTTACAGGTTCACACCCGAAGTCATCAGTGCAGTGACTCCGTAGCTCTGAATGAACACAACATATCATCGAGGCCAGGAATTCTAAACCACGTACAGGTGCTCCCCCAAGTATCTTTAAGAATACGTGGAGAAAACTCCACATGCAGTGCTGCCTTGTGCGCTGTAACGAACTCTCTGAAAGACGAATTGAACCTGTTTCACACCTTCTGTGAGGCACAGTTCTTCCTGTGACAGTAGAAGTTTCCACAGGCGTGCTGAAGTAGCAAGAGGTTGATCAAATATTTCGGGGGATAGCGTGGTTATTTCATTATCGGAAGGGAAGAATCTACATTGTAATTCAAATCGAGGTGCTACAATTTTGGGAATCATTTCATTTTAGGAATCCTGAGATAATTATACTTACTATAAACTCACGATGGATTTTTCATGAAGACAATATTTTTGATCCAAGCTGATACTGTCAAATATTTTATTTTACTAGTTTTTACTGCTAGAGCCAATTTCTGTGATCTTGATTCAGGTAGACTTTCGATCTTATTGCAGTGCGGGTAAACTCTGTACTTACTCAATTTTTACA